TCTTTTTTCTTNTTTTTTTTTTCTTTTTTTTTTCTTCCACTGGCGTGGTGGTGGGCGGGGAGTGAAGGGGAACGAGGGAGACATCAACCACCAAAAGGAAAAAGGGGAAACAAAAACAAGATGATGATAAAAGCCTTCCTGCCGCAGCAGTGACGTGGGCGCTGGCGTTGCCGTCACTGCGCAAGTCTTGAGACGTTGTTTCTTATTATTCTTCTTCTCTCCTTCTTTCTCTCTCCCCCCGCGCTGTTGTCGCCCTCTGCACTGAAAGAAAAAGTGAGGAGAGGCCACCACGGCGGGGAGCGGGCAGCATCATGGGTGGGGGCCACTCGAAACTCGCACCCCCAACGCATGCCCCTGTCCCCTCCCCCATAGTGTCCCACTTCGCCGAAGCCGGCGGTAGCGCAGGCGGCAGTGAGCCCTTAGATGGACGTTCTTTGTGTGGAGACATACCACCGTACAAGTACATTCGTGCATGGTATAAAAGTATGCCAGCTGTGTGTGAGCTCGCGCCGGTGCCAGTGGCAGACATTGTCTCGGACGGAGAAGCCGAGGCCTTTGTGTGGGACATGTCCGTTGGTGGGTTCGAAGAGTTGGCCAATGGTCAAGGCGAAAAGGTCCACTACGTCTCCGCATTGACGCTGCACACGCCGAAAGCTGACGATGAACATCGCGCAAACAAGGTTAAGCGTAAAGGGGGCTGCTCTTGTATCCGCTCGTGGTGACACCCCTCGCTGGAGTGCGCCTTCGCTAGTGGAGTGTTGGTCCCAAGCCATTTCTTCGATTAGGTCAGACGTGAGTACCCTTTGCATTGCGTAGCGCTTGCTGTTGCTGTGTGTGTGTGTTTTGGTTCGTTTTTTACCCCTGCGAGTTTTTTTTATTGTGTGATGGAGGAGACGGGGACACCGCCGTTTGGAGAGAGAATGTGAGTGTGAGTGTCGCCAAGCCGCGTGTGCGCCCCTTGAGACGTCCTCCTTTTTGCCCGCGGGTTTCCGTGCGTGTTTGTGTTTGGTGTGGCTTTGCGTGGGCATCGGTGGCAGGTGTTTGCGCAGGCTGCGTGCGATCGGAAAAGTTTGGCTGGAGCCGCGGGCGCCGCGTCCAACTATGAAGGAGAGGGAAGTGTTGGTGTCACGGGCCCGCTGCCTGGCTGTGGCGGCGCTTTCCTCCCGCCCCTGCTTCCCGTGGATTGCCGCCGCAAACCTCCGCTCCTTCTCTCTCTCTCTGAATCGCGAGGCCGCGTCACTTCAAGTGGAGTCTCGATGTGCGTTTTTGTGCAGTGTGCACTGCGTGCGTCCTGGCGGGCCGTCGTTGTCAGGTTTTTCCTCTGCGTCTGGATTGCCCTTTTTTGTTTGGAGGATCTCTGTCTGCGGCAGCGTCCGCTTGTTTTTTTTTTGTTTTTTGTTGCTGTGTGTGTGTGTGTTTTTTTTTTACCTTTGCCATGATGGCGGCAAGCAACCAGTGAGAAACCCGTGCAGTGATATGTCGATCACAGCTACGCATACACGACCTTTATATATTTATATATATATACTCATGCACCGCGTGCATGTTTCGTATGAAGTTTTTTTTCCTTTTTCTTTTTCTTCCTTTTTTTTTGTCTGCATATTATATATATACACACATGCACATCTTATATATATATATGACATGCCTGGGTGTGTGTGTGTGTGCGCACGTAAAGTTTCGTTGCTTGTCGTGGTTGTTGTGGTTGCGTTTTTTTTTGTTTTCTTTCCTTATTTCATACCTTATTTCTTTCTGTGAAGCTTTGGTTTCCTTTGGGCAGCCGCATTCCTATTTGCCGCGGCGTCCGTTGAGGCTGCCTCCCTTGTATCCACCCCCCGCGCCTGCGTCTCCCTGCCCTCTCCCTTTCTCTAGTGCCGCTCCTCTAGTCCCACCTTCGCCCCAGGTGCCGTCGTGCGTCGACGGCGATGGAGCTGCGCGGCGACGCCGTCGCCACGGCGCGGCGGGACGCGCTGCACCGCACCCTCTACCTCCGCCGCGAGTACGCCCTCGTCGCGCGGTGCGGGGAGTTCGACGATGTCCTGCTGGTTCCGCCCCAGAACGACTCTGGCAGACCGGGCGACTGCTGGAGGGGGCTGGTGGCTGTGCGGGGCTTCCCGTCGCCGTGGTACCGCGGCGTCTTCAGCTTTCTTGTCTGGCTGCCGCCGAAGTACCCCTTCGAGGCGCCGTCAGTGCGCCTGGAGACGCCCCTTAAGAGCCACCCGCTCCTCCTCGACGACGGCGAGGGGAGAAGGTGCGTCGTCCCGTTTGACGACATTTACGTGGCGCTCGATCCGATGCGTGTCTCCGTGATGGCGCGGCTGCTGCACCACGTGCGCTCCATCTTTTTCCCCTCGGATTGGGCGGCGACGACGACGCCCGCGCCGCCGGTCAACAAGGCGCTCGCCCGACACGACGTAGAGCGGCGCAGCGTGACGCAGGAGGTGGTGTTGGGGAAGCCCTACGTGGACTATCTCTCCCGCGAGGCGGTGGCCTTCTTCTCCAACCCCGACCACTTCAAGCACGGCGACGCCCGCATGGACGCCTCGGGGGCTGAGGAGGCGTGGGAAAAGGCGTTTTCTCTCTGGCTGGGCCGCTCATGGCTCCCCGCCGTCCGTCTTTTGCAGTGAATCACCCTTGTTGCCGTCTTGTCTGCCTGGGTGTGTGTTTTTATTTATTTTTTTTGTGTGGCCCCCTTTACCTACGCGGTTTCACCTCGCGACCCTGCAGCAAGTTTCTCCGGCGTGTCTTCGTCTTTCTTGGCGTTTGCGTGTCCGTTTGCTTTTGTGTCTTGCCACCCACGCGTGCGTCTCGCTGGAGTTCGGTGGCGTAGCGACTTCGCGTTTGACGTTCGCGGGCGCACGTGCCTCCCTCCTCCTCGCGCCTTCGCTCTCGCTCTCTCTTCCTGTGTGTGTGTGTGTGTTCCCGCTTGCTCCCTCATCTCTCGCAACACCTCCACACACGCAGCGAAAGGGTAATTTTTTTTAAAAAAGGGGGTGGAAAAGGAGGACTGCGGAGGCTGTGGGGATCGTGACAGCAGGCGGTGTGGCGAATAGGCGAAGGGCGCTCCATGGCTTCGGCACAGAGCAACTGCAGCGCAACCTCGCGTCTGCAAAAGGAGCTTATGGAGCTCATGATGGGCGGCGCCGAGGGCATCTCCGCCTTCCCGCAGAACGACAACCTCTTCCACTGGATTGGCTCCGTGCAGGGGGCGCCCAACACCGTCTACGAGGGGCTGGAGTACCAGCTCTCCCTCGATTTCCCCGCGAACTACCCGTTCGAGGCACCCGTTGTCCGCTTCCTGACGCCCTGCTTTCACCCAAACGTCGATACATGTGGGATGATTTGCCTGGACATCCTGAAGGACAAGTGGAGCGCCGTCTACACGGTGTCGAAGATTCTGCTCTCCATTCAGAGTCTACTCGACAACCCAAACAATGAGTCACCGCTCAACAACCGTGCTGCGGAGCTGTGGGATAATAAGGAGGAGTACCGCCGCGAGGTCCTCCTGGCGTGCAGGGACGCGAGGTCGAGCTCGTCGTGAAGTGTCTCTCCCTGTGCGTGGGCGCACCTATGCGTGCGTAGGGAGATAGAGAGTGGGAGCCAGAGAGTGAGGGGAAGAGAAGTGTCATATGGCGGTGTTTCTGATGTGAATGGGGGGTGCAAGCGGGGAGCTGGAGAAGACAGGACCCTGCTGGTTCTCTGCTGATGTGTACTTTGCTCCTTCTTCTACCTTCGTCATATAGAGGGCGGAGGCGCCGTCGGAGGGGAGCTGTCCTGTTAGAGTGTGTCAGGAGCTGGACGGGGAGGGTGCAACAGTTGAAGGGGAAAAGAAGTATTAAAACAAAGCAAATGGGGAAAGCGTGTCAAGCGAGGAGGATGGGGGGTGAGACTCATTGCACCGCCTCCCTTTTTGTTAAAAGGAAGTTGTTCAAGGCTCAAGATGAGGCTGGGAGAAATGGAGTGGCGGGTGGGGAAATAAAATTCGACAAATTTTTCTTTTTACTCCTCCTTCCTGTGTTGTTACACAGGCTGTGCCCCCCGCATTTCCCTTTTCCTCTTCCTTCGTTTTTTTTTGTTTCTGATATTTGTTGCTGCTTTCCCTGCTACTGCCCGACTATTTCGTTACTGTTATTTTGCTTGTGTGGGGTTGTTTTGGCCGTTGCTGCGTATTTTGTGCTTTCTTCTGGCGTGTGACGTCTGCGTCTCTGCGCGTCACCTTTTCCGTCGAACGTAACGTTTTCCTTCACGTGTCTTTGCTGGCGTTTAGGGCCGTTGGTGTGGCAAGGCGGGAAGGTGTTGGGGCGGCTGCGCAGTCAACGAGCAGCGGCGGCGTTTTGCGGGGAGGCGCGCTTGAGGAGAAGAGGGGCCCGCCGCCTGGCGTTGTGGGGCGTTGCGGAATCCGGCTGCATGACGCTGCAGGTGTGACTAGGCGAAGTTTTCTCCCTCTTCCTCCCGTGTGTGTGTGTGTGTATATATATATATATGTTTTGTTTTTGTTGTATGGCTGAGGATGTGCCCCGCCGGCGCCGAAGAGGTCACTCGCTGTGACTGGCAGATGCGGAGGTGCCACGCGTGTCGCCGGCAAGGCGGAAGGGGCTTCACCGCGCCCTGCTGCGGTGCAGCCTGCCGCTCTCTCGCTCTTTGAGGTTCGCTTCGCCCCGCCGCGGCGCGGGCGAGGGGTCGCGTTGTCTGTTCTCCCGCGGTGCGGGGAGACTCCCGCGTTGGCGTCGATGGTGCGGCATTCCCCCCGCCTTTTTTTTTTTTTACTTGTGCGGCACCTGCGCGGGTGGCAGGACGAGTGCCGGTGCGCCACCGCGACACGCCACGGAGAGGTGGATGGCTGCTGCGCCCACGCCCTTCTTCTTGCTTCCGTCTGTTGTTGTTGTTGTTGTTGTTGTTGTTGTTTCTTGCCTTTGGGCCCCTATCGTGGAGGATTCGTGCATAAAACACGCACACGCATAAAAAAACAAAAGGAAAAGAAATCAACCCCACATTACACTTAACACACGATGATGCACCGGACCGTGGCGGCGCTCGCGGGGATCAGCGGGATGGCGGTGTACACCCCACCGTGCCGCGTTGCCCTCAAGGATTGGTGTGCCTGGACCGGAAATGACTGGAAGAAGGTGTCGAACGTCGTCGGCGACTCTTTTCGCATCCCCAGCTGCAACGAGAACGCCTACACCATGGCGGCGTCCGCAACCCTCCGCCTCATCCTTAACTACGGGGTTGACCCCGCCCGTATCGGTTTCCTCGGACTAGGGACAGAGAGCAGCACGGACAACTCCGCCGGGTCCATTATTGTGCGGGGCATGGTCGACAAAGCCCTGAAAGAGCTCGGTATGCCGCGCATCTCGCGTCACTGCGAGGTGCCGGAGTTCAAGCACGCCTGCCTCGGTGGCGTGTACGCCCTGAAGAGCGCCGCCCGCTACGCGGAGCTGGACGGCGGCGATGACGCGCTGGCTATCGTCGTGGCGTCTGACATTGCGGAGTACGCGCTGGGCTCGACGGGGGAGCAGACGCAAGGCGCCGGCTCGGTGGCGATGCTGGTGGAAAAGACACCCAAGTTGGCGGAATTGGACACAAAGTGTTCCGGCTCCGCCTCTGACTACCGTGGACCCGACTTTCGCAAGCCGTTCAAGCGCCACTTCATTAAGGAGTACTGCAGCAGCACGGAACACGGCAAGATTCCAGACTTCCCCGTCTTCTCCGGCCCCTACAGCACGATGGTGTACCTCGACGAAGTCACCGTGGCTGTGGAGGAGATGCTGTCCAAACTGAAGCAAAGTACTGGAGACTACTACAACTCGGTTTCGGCACTCTTTTTCCACCGTCCGTACAACATGATGCCGATTCAGGCCATGTCCTTCTTGTACTCCCGTGGACTCGCGCGTGCCCACTCGGAGGAGCACAAGAAGTACTTTGAGGAACTCTGTGCAAAGGCCAAGGTGGACCCTGCTGCCGTGCGAAAGGAACTTGAGGCCTCTCCCGACTACTTTGGCATGATTGAGGCGGGGCAGGAACCCAAGGACGTGTTTGCTGCCACCAATAAGGTTGCCAAGGCTCTCCGCGCGGACAAGGAGTTCACCTCCCTCCTCAACAGGAAGATGAGTCTGGGCAGCCCGGCAATGGCAAACTTTGGTAACCTTTACACCGCCTCTCTCCCATGTTGGATTGCGGCCGGCTTTGAAGAGGCCTACACGCGTAAAATTGACATTACAAACCACCCAATGGTCATGATCGGCTACGGCTCTGGTGACGCGAGCGAGGCAATCCCGATGGTTCCAGTGAAGGGGTGGGAGACGGCCGCGTCGAAGATTAACGTCTCTGCGGCGCTGGATAACCCCGTGAACCTCACGCGGGAACAGTACGAGGGGCTGCACACGGGATCGCTGAAGGAGGACCTCGCCGCAGAGAAACGTAAGGGGGAGTTTGTTGTGGGTCACGTCGGAACCCGCAACGAGGCGGCCTTCCAGGACATTGGTGTTGAATACTACCAATTTGTACGCTAGTGCAGGGCAGTGTGAATGCACCAACACGGTAGAGGTGGGGGGGGGGACAGAACTTTTTGTAATCTCTGAAGGAGGGAGGGAGTGAAGTAGGGGGGTAAAATTGGGGAAATTCAACGAAGGGAGTGTGAGAAGGGGGCTTCCATCATGAGCACACGGCTGCGTAGTTGATCAGCTATTATTCTCACCGGGGGCATTCATATCGTCTACCGGCACTCGTGCAATATTTGTCTTTTCATGTACGTCTGTATATCTATGTGTCTGTGTGAAAGACGACTACGCGTGCCTTGGGCAGGGGGGAGGAACGGAGGATCGAAGCGCAAGCAGTAAGGAGGGTAAAATGAGAAGAAGGGGTTAAGTTTTTTTTCTTTTTTTTTTTTTCTTGCGTGTGTTCCATTTTATGGGTTCCTCCACGAGAGGTGTACTCAGCCATTTGCGGTTGGCGGATCATGTGTTTATTTTTGTTTCCTCGATGAACCGAATATGCGCATGATATCAAGATGCAATTGCGTTATTTTGTTGTTGTTTGTTGCTTTGCATTTGTTTGTTATTTTGTCTCTCGTCCTCTGCCGACTTGCAATGTGCTGCCCCTTCCCCCTCCCCCCAACACCCACCCACACAAGCCTCTCTTAACTCCGTCAGTGCATAATATCACAACTGTCAGCGTCGGACGATAGGCCTTTTTGCTCGGGCCTCTCGGCGCAGCTGTTGTTGTTGTTGTTGTTGTTTTTTTTTGTTTTTCATCGCCGGCCCGCTTGTGAGTTGTGTGTGTTTGCTGCCTCTCATCCCCCTCGTTTTTTCTCCTTCTTCCTTTCGCATCGCCTCTTTGTCTGTTTCTGTCCGCACGGCCTCGCCGTTTTTTTTTTTTGTCGCGGGTAGACACGACTGCCGCCGCTGCTGCTGCGGGAATGGCGTGGTGGCGCCGGCGGCACGAGGCGACGGGCGACGAGGAGGCGGAAAAGGCTTTGGCGGCCATCTTTAACCCCTCCCACGCCGCAGCGGGGGCAGCTCCCGACACGAGTGATGCTCGCTCAGGGAACTCCGGTGGGCGTCGTCCCGTTGGGAGGGGTGCGCCTCAGCCTTCCCCATCCTCAGCCTCCGCCTCCGCCTGCGCGGACGGTGTGGCGCCGGCGACGCAAAAGTACAAGGAGCAGGATGTGGTGGGCCTGAGCTCCCTGCCGCCGAGCCCCATTCTTGGCTACACGCTGCGCGAGGAGGGGCTTGTTGACGAGTTGGCGCACCCGCCGCGAACTCTCTCCCTGCAGCAACTGCGATCGCTCATTGTCGAGCTTTCCGCGGTGGAGCAGCAGGCAAAGTACTGCGTAGAGGCGCAGCTTCCGCAGCAGGTCCACAATAGGGGGCGGCGCAGCCTTGAAATCATTGTCAGTCCCTGCTTGTACGCGTGCGGCTTGTATCTCATGCTTTGGAAGGCGCCGCGCTTGTATTTAGGGGTGACGCCGCGTAGTAGTGTTCTTTTTACGCGGCTTCTCGCGTTGATGCGGTGGCACCTGCCCGAGGTTGAGAAGGAACGAATGGCGAGAAATCACCGCTGGTTGTTGCAGGCGACAAATGCACGGGTGACGTTGTCGTTTCTGGCGGGTTGCACACTAACCGCCGTCGCAGTCGCCACACAGCCGGCGCGCGGCGTGTTGGACTCCGGCCCCGATGTCGAGCTGGGGATGCAGTCCGTCGGCTTTCAGAAGCACTCGGAGGCCGTGCTGCGGTGGCTGTGGTGCGTGTACTACCACCACCCGGCCTACAAGTCGCTGGCGCAAGGGACGCTCCCGCCGTTCCTGCAGAGTGTCAGCCCGAGGAGCTAGCCGGCCGTCCTCGTCGTCGTCGTCGTGGGACGGCCCGTGGGCAGGAAAAAATGAAGGCGCATGAACGCATGTGCATGCGTGTGTATCTTGGTTTACTTTTATGTGTCTGTGTGTGTGTGTGTTGGTGGGTGCAAGAGAAGGCGGTGGTTTCCTTCTTTTTTTACTCTCTATCTATTTGTTTCCCTGCGGGGGGCGGGGGGGATGTACGCAACCATGAACCCGCAAAAGGAAGGAAAAAAGTAACAATAATAATAATAATAATCGAGGAACATGGCGTCGTACGTTCCGCCGGAGTTTAGCGAGGAGCTTTTCGGCGTCATGTTAGACTCCTGCACCCCGTCCAGGTCGCGCGTGGAGGCACTGACGCAGGTGGCTCTCCGCCACCTGCCACAGGCCACAGACACTTGGTCTGCCCTGCGGAAGGCGCTCGTGCGCCAGCAGGATTTGGCGTCGGAGGACAATAAGGCGCTGTGGTACCTGCTAGACTCACTCATGAAGCATGCGCCGCACGTGTTTGTCCCTCTCATTTCGCCGCGCTTGCACGACTACGTTGTGCAGCAACTGCCGTGGCACCTCGTGGGGGTGGTGTCGACGTTAGGCGGCGGGGCACTGTGGTGTGACGCGATGATTCGCACGTGGGAGGGTGTGTTGCCGCCGCACCTGATGCGCAGCGTGAAGTCCTTCGTTCTGCAGCTGCGCAGCGGAAAGGAGCTGGCGCACGCCATGAGTCTGAGCGGTGAGAGCGACGAGGTCCAGGCCGTGGATCCTCCAGCGACACGTGAGCAACTGCAGCAGCTGCGGGAGGCATGGGAGGTGTTCTGGTCCTTCGCCGCGGAGGGGGCGCGTGCGGCGGGCGATGCCCCCCCTGCGGCGTCAGCAGCCGCCGGTGCACCGTCGCTCGCGCCGGTGAAATGTGAGCCGCCGCTGCTGCTCGCGGGGGTGAAGCGCGAGGAGGGCACGCAGCCCGCCGGCGACGCCGCCGGCAGTGACGGTGACTCCGACGTGGAGTACGTCCCGACGTTCGTGCGAGGGGCGCAGCGCCGCGAGTTGCCCTCGCTGACGGGCGACGGCGCCGCCGCGCAGAAAACGCGTCGAGCCGCCCGACGACGTCCGCGCGAGGAGGACTGAGGGAAGTGCAGGTTTCCTCACCGGGCGACGGGCGAAGTTCAAGTTGCTGTCCAAGTTTCCTCTTTTGCTTTTGGCTTTTCTCTCTTTCGCTGTGTGTATGCGTGTGTGTCGCTCTGTCTGTCTGTGGGCGACTGGTTGGTTGCTTTGGTCGGAGAAGTGGCTTTTGTTCTTGCTGCTGCTGCTGCTGCTGCTGCTGCTTATCTGCCTTCTTTCTCTGTTGCTGCTGTTCTTCCCCGCGGGTGTTCCTGCTGCCACTGCCGCCGCGCGGTAACCCGTGAGCGCAAGCCACTCCACTTCCTTATTTGCCTCCTTTTCTTCTTCTTGTGGTTGCTCTTTCTTGCTTTTTTGTTTTTTGTTTTTGCACTGGCGTTGGGGCGCTGCTGCTGCGGGCGCAGTAGGAAAGTGAATACACAACAAAAAAGGAAGAGGGGAAGGAGTCTGCCTTTGTTCTCGAAGGGTCAAATTGCGCCCCGGAGGAAGCTCGCCTTTTTTTGTTGTGTGTGTGTGTGAGTGTGTGAGTGTGAGTTGTGGCTCTTCACCCCGCAGCTCTCGTTTTTCTACCGACGCGGCAATTCGGCTTCCACGCGCGGCCGGCAGTGAAGCAGGCGGCACGGTCTCACTGACTTTGTTCCGCCGTCCCTGCCTCGCTGCGGAGAATAATGTCGTTGTGCCGCACCGCCTCTCGCTGGCGCAGTGTGCAGTGCACGGGGGAGATCCCGCCGGGGCGAATAGGGCACACCCTGTGCGCCAACGGCGCGGAGACGAAGGTCTTTCTCTACGGCGGCGTCAACGACAGAAATGAGAGCATTTCAAACTACCTGGATGACCTCTACGTGTTCGACGTGGAGAGGAAGCACTGGTCCAAGATTGAGATGACGGGGCAGGTGCAGTGCTCCAGGGCGTTTCACTCCGCCGTGTACTATGATGGGAAAATATACATCTTTGGTGGATGCAACGGCCGTGGAAGGTTCAATAGGTTGTTTTCCACTAGTGAGGAGGGCGAGTGTGCGCAGATTGAGGCGGGCGGCCAGCCACCATCGACCCGGTACTGCCACAGCGCCGTGTTGTTTGAGAAGTGCATGTACATATTTGCCGGCAAGTGCGGCGGACGGAACAGCAACAGGCGCCTGTCCGATCTTTACCTTTTCGACTTCAGAAAGAATATGTGGCTGGAGTGCCCGCAGCGCGGAGACCTGCCTACACCACGCTCAGCCCACGCCGCCTTCACGTGTGGGCGCAACATGATCATGTTCGGCGGGCGCAGCGCCCGAGGCGAGTGCTGCGAGGACATGTACATGTACAACTACGACACATGCATGTGGCGCCAGATCGAGTCCCCCAACAGCGGCCCTTTCTTTGGTAGGGCGCGGAACAGTGTTGTAGTACACCACGGCAGGGTTGTCGTCTTTGGTGGGTGGAACGGGAAAAAGAAGCTGAACGACCTCTTCACCTACCACGTGGACTCCAACACCTTCGAGGTGATGCATGAGCCGGACGAAAACTGCCCGTCTAGAAGGGAGTGCCACGTCGCCGTTGTCTGCAAGAACACAATGGTGGTGTTTGGAGGCCGGTTTCGTGGGGAGTTTATGAGCGACACGGCCGAGCTGGACCTTGGCCCCAAGACGCTGAAGCAGACCTGCCGCGACTGGATCCTGCGGAGTAGTTTCAAGGAGCTGCACCCGGGCTGCGGGGAGAGGGTCCTTCCGCTGCGGCTGCAGCAATTTATTGGGAACTGGAGGCAGCTGATGTGCAAGGCGGAGAAGGCCGAGCCACGGACGCCGCTGCAGGATAGTGTTCCCAATGAGGCACTTTCGTCGGATAGCAACTCCCAGCACGGGTGAACGGTAAATATATATATGTGTATGTGTGTGTGTGTGTGTGTGTGTGTGTGTGTGTGCGGGCCGCGGGAAGGGACAAGAGGCAAGATTCAGTGAGTGAGAGTGAGTGGGGCGCGGCACACCTGCGCACACGCCGTGAAGCATGCAGCTACGCATCTAGCGGCGAACCGTGCGGGGGGAGGGAGGGAGGGAAGGGGGGGGGGAGTCAATGCGGCGCAAGCGCAACAAAAGAGAAACACAGAAGGGGAAGAAGAAAGAAAAAAGCAAAAAAAAACGAAGAAAGTAAAAAAAAAAAAGAAACAAGAACAAGGTCGGAAACAAACTGTATTGGGCTTCTGCGTACTTTACAAATATCCTCACTTGTATGCCTCTGCGTGTGTGCTCGCGTGACGATCCTACTTTACATATTTATTGCTTTGCCGTAGGTGGACACGCACAGAGAAGGAACAAGAGGGAGAGGGAGAGAGAGGCAAGTGTGCAAGACAGATACATGCGGGATTTTATCTAAATATCATTGGGTCGTAGTTCCCTCGTTTCATGCCTGCCGTCCTTTTGGTTCTATTACGACTGCATGCGGTGTGTTGGTGTGGTTGAGTAATAAATTATTATGCGTCAGAACAGGCGAAACGAAGGGAAAAAAAGACAATTTTTTTTGTTTGTTTGTTTGTTTGTTTTTCTAAGAGTGCAACAT